TTTTTTTTTTTGACCGGTTTCTTCATTTTTATTTTATTTATTTTTTTGTTTTGATACCGCAAAGCAGCCATCTAAAAAGCTATCATTTTAGATTAATTACAGTTGTTTTCATCAAAATGAACAATAATAAAGTTTTTTGTTGTTATTGTTGTTGAAATTTTGAAAAAGTGAAAAACTGACTGTAAAAAAAATGGCTGTAAAAAAAAAAAAGAAAGAACAAAAAATTTGTCTAACAACTGGTATTCTGAAGAATGCGGAAGGCAACTGAATAAATAAATAGAAATACGGAAACTGTTATATTTTCATTTATAGCACTTAATGTTTCATTTTCACTACCTTTTTCTTCCGTGGTCGCTTTTTTTTTTTTTACCACTCGACTTTCTCAGATACTTATTGTTTTGGCTTCTGAATACTACTGCTAAAAACCTAATTTACATCACTGCATTTGTGGTGTAGTTCAGAGCTTTCAACCTTCGGCCACTCTTATAACAAAATAGTTACCAAAATTTTTTTTCACGCAACTCGTTCTTATCAGCCTTTTTTTCTTGTTAAATTAATTTATTAAAAAGCGCATTAAAAAACAGTATAATCGGAAGCAAAAGCTGTTTGCCGACAATGACAGTTCATACTGCTAAAGTAATTAGTATTGAACTGACAGAACTGCTGCAGCTGATTGTAAGCATCAAAAAAAAACGTCCAAAAGCGAAGTAAATAAAATAGATACTCAAAAGACTGTCAAAGAGATTTTTTTTTTCTTCATTTTTTCATCAAAATTACTGCTTAGATTTGTGTTCGTATTTCACTTTTTCTTTTTTATTTGACAGAAGGAAATTTAAACCTATGCTTTGTCGGATAAAGGAAATTTTGAAAAAGGCTGCTGATAGAAACCATAAAAGGCAGAAAAAAGAAACTAATAATGACAGTAATAGTGACAATAGGAAAAATAATAATAATAATAATAATAATAATAATAATAATATTAATAATAATAATAATAATAATAATAATAATAATAACAATGATAATAATGATAATAATAATAGTAATAATAATGGCAGTAATGATAATAAATAATACCCTTCAAATGATTATCACCTGCAGAGGTTAAGATATGCTATCTTTAGCTAAACTTATAATATCCATTTAAAACCGGACACTTTTGCAGAGCTGAAATAATAAATGTTCCTTTGTTCTTTGAAATGAAAAAAGAACAAAAAACACCATATTTTGTTCAGCTAAATTTACATGACAGCAAATAAACAACAATAGTAATGTTCAACAATTTGTGATAGCGATCAGATCAGTCAATAAAATTGTCTCACCCGTACTGACAATCTTTTTTTCTCCCCCATTGACGGATTTTTAGGTTGTATGCAAAAAAAAAGGCCTACCATTTTGAAGCTAATTGATTAGCAGATTAGTGAGTGTTATCTGTTAGAAAGCTGAAAAACAATGTTAATGCTTAAATGTTGCTAGCCATCAAAAATATCAACACATCCAATGCTTCTATTTCCTTCATTCAGCAACAGCTGATACATACATCTCAACAGTCAGTTTCAGTTGCAACCATCATTGTCGTTTTTCTCCAATGAAAACCAATAACCGCTAAAACAATACAAAGAAAAATTTCAAAAAGCAAATAATAAAGCCTATTTTTTAAATATCATAAATTCTATCATGCGGATATTAAAAAATGTTTAAATAATTACTAGAGCAGTATTATCTTTGATGATCAATTGCAATGAATGTGTCATAGTTGTCACTTTTTTGATTTATTATTGTAAAATTGTATAGCTGGCAAAGTGCTATTTTTTATAGATATTTTTTTGAACGGAGAAAAAAAATATGAAAAGCACCACATTACTCATTCTTTTACAGATCAAATAATTATGATTATCAGTATTGCAATTGGTATTGGTATATCATCTTGGGCAATTTGGGTTGCTGCTAAATGCTATCATTTTTTGCGGAATCAAAGTGAAACTGCAACAGATTCGTCCAGTATCCATCGTTCGCTATGGAGGTGATCCGCTTTTATAAAATAAGAGAGGAAAAAGAAAGCTGTTATTGTTCTATGGTTTGCAGGAAAGAAGAAGGAAAAGTTCTGAATTTCATATGTATATAGCTTTTAGTAGAATGAAAGAGAAACAGAATAATTGAGCAGGCTTTGTATAGTTTTAATGTATCGGCTAGCTGCCAAATTACTTACACTGCTAAATTTAGTAGATGGCTCTAGCAAGTCATATTTGTTGACATTGCTGTGATCGTCTAATCTACATTGATTTCAAGTTTAATCTCAGGTTTACGATTCACTTTTTTTGCATGTAAATTAAACTTTTGTACAGTTCTGTTACTTTCTTCTCGTATTGTATTTTTTTCTTTTGACTTTTTTAACGACTAGTCTTTAAAGAACCGATATTTTGTTGCTCTATTTTTTCTACTGTTTAGCAACTTCACAATTCATAGCATTTGTTGGCGAAACAAGTGAAAAAAACCCCGTTTCTTTTCCTTTTTATTTTTTAGAGGTAGTAGAGTAAGAGGAAGGGGAACCAGAATATGACCGGGTGAAATTTTGCTAAGGATAGGTGTTGAATATTGACAGATTTTTCCACTGATATTCAATAGAATTTGTTTAAAATCTTTTTGCTAGAATCCTTCTCATTAAGTGATTTTTTAATCACTTTTTTAATATGAACTACGAAAATCTATAAATCTAATTAAAACATACTGCTAGTTTTATTCTTCATTTATCTATATGAAAACGTAGTAAACCTTAGGTTTACCGATTAAACTATCTGTTTTTTTTTTTTTTTAGAAATTACTGTTTTAATAAATTTAGAAAAGTTTTTCTTTTGTATGATATTATAATATAGAAGAAATGGGTTTGCAAAGTGATTGCCAAAGAACTGAAAATGTTGCAAACAGATAAATTGTTGAGAACTGAATAATGCGATTTTGCAGACCAAACCATCGCTAACTATTATTCTTGGTAATACTGTCAGTTGTGTCCTTATTGGTAATGCGGGTAGTAACTGAAAATTTTTATTTAGTCTTTTGATCTTTGATCTTTGACTTTTGATCTTTGCATAATCGTTAGCTGTAATCTGACTATTGTCCTTAATGACTTCACTATGTATTTCAATCAAAAGTATAAAGTCGTTTTTTTTTTTGCATTCCTATTTAGTGTTTCTGATTAACTACTTTTCAGTTCAATATCTCAGGTCACAACTGGTATTTGGTGATTCTGTTGTTGTGCAATATATTTTTTGTGTTAGTCAATATTTATAAATAAGTGCTGTATACAAACTGCTTTGAAAAAAAAAGTAGAAAAAAGTTTTTTTAGCTTTTGTAGCAGTTAAAAACATAAGAAACCAGCTCTTTTCTGTAGATCAGTTTTTGTACAACCTCCTACAAGAAGCCATCATTTGCTAATGGCCACTAAAGCAAACATCTTGGTAAGTTCACAACATTCATCGGAAGGGACTTGTTGAAGCTACATTATACGCCTTTTGTTTTTTTAAAAATAATACGTGGCAAACAAAAATTTTTGGCTAAACCAAATGACTTTTTTTCTGCAATTGACAATTAAGGTGGCCAGACTTCAATGATCATCACCCTGCAAGCATTTTTACAAAATATTAACCTTGCTTGTTTTTTGAATGATATTCTGCTGTATACCCACAGTACTAATTTTCAAGATGTCGAATACTGCTGCTGCTTTTCTCAATTAATAATTTTTAGGAATTGATTTTCAGTAGTTTTATATAGCTACCCTAAAGTTTGTTTCTCCTTACAGCTTTCCTCTATCAGTTTATCCATGGAAACAAACAATGACTTGGCTGTATTGGTATTCAGAATAAACTAATTTATTTGTCATTAAATAGATAAATCAAGCACTATAAATCCTAATTCTAAAAAATGCCAGTAAAATGTGGCTTTGACTTTTAGTGTTTCACTTTTAAATCTTCCAATGCCCAGTTGAAAAAGCAGTTCTCCTCTGTAACCGCAAAATGCAACGAAAATGGCTATAAAATTTTATTTTTCGGAACTACAGTATGACACAAATTTAAATTGGGTCAGCAAAAAACTGTCATTGGAGTTGACATTTTATATTATCAAATTTTTTCAGACATTTGAGTGCTTTCTGTCATTTTTTTTTTTTTTTTTCCGTGAATGGCAACCAAGAACTGCTTAAACAAAATCTCTTTAGCAAGGAAACTGAATTTTGCCACATCTTACTTTCCAGATTACTTTGTTTTCGAATTCGTCAATTTTTCGTTTTCAGCCTGTAACTTTTCGCAGAGTTTCTTTTCTTGGTACTCTTCTGCACTTCTTGCCCGTTCACGTAATTCTTCGTGTTCCTTCTAAAACGCATAATAATTAAATGAAGTAGTTCAACGAAAACGGATAGTGAGATACAAAAAATTACATCTGCAAAAGGAGATCTTTATCATACCTCCTTTTCCTCCATTATTTTACTTATCACCGCTCGTCGCCTTTCCGCTTTTAACCTAATCAGATCTTCAAGGCTGTAGACGTTCCAATAAAGACCGTATTTTCGCATCAGTTTGTCAAAGAGGCTTTTGAAAGCCACCATCAGGATGACCAATACTAGTGATATTGCTTAAATTCAAGTAAATTCAATTTCAAGCTTTGTATTGAAGCACAGCATTTCCAGTACTTGTTCGCTTGAAATGAGTTCTCTTAGAAATGAACTGTGCTAACTGGAACTAACCATACTTTAATTGCTGATCAGCAGTTTAAAATGTGAACTTTTTTCGTTAATTTATTATTTGATTGTTAGTTAAAAAATTCAACAGAGAAATAGTCTAAAATTTTTTTGCAGCATCGCTTATAAAACGGTTATTTTTAGATTCTATGGAACAGGGACAGTTATATTTAACAGATCCGGAGAACCAAAGCGGTATGGAGAGGCTTAGCTATTTAAGCATAAAAATCAAAACAAAATTTTTGGCTCAATTTGAAGTGTTGGCCTTCTGAAGGGGTGTGAATGTTTAGACTGTACCGTAAATAGAGGTTTTTATCTTTAAAATATTCTGTTAAAGAAAGAAATTCTCCTTATGTCACAGTTTTTGAAAAGTGGTTTCATCTGCAGGCCTAAAAGCTTTTATTGTTTCCTTCAGCTAGCGGCACTGAAGAAGCAGTCGGCCTAAAAAGATGAACTGAAGGTGAGGTTTTCCTTCAAGCGCAATGACCGTCTTTTTTGTACTTCGACTTCTTGGAACAGTTTTCGTTTCTGTAGCCTTTTCCGCCTACTTTGGCACAAATGGTAAATAGTGATAAAAGCTGAGCCTCATTTGTAATACCACTTTTTTCGACCATTCTTAATTTCATCCCTTCATTATGTTGATACTTCTTCTAAATAGTGTGTTTTGAGGGCAACCGTAGTTTTCTTTTCTCAATTACCTACCTGATTTTTATCAGTATTAGAAACAAACATTATAACTTTTTTCAAATTATTTCATTTGATTTTGTTGTTTATATTAATTAAGTATAGATGAAAGGTGCTGATATCTTTTTTAAAGGCAGTATTTACAAGAAATCGTATATGTGATGAAGGAGGTGACGTCACGAATCACTCAGTAAAATGTCAATTTTCTATAGCATCAATACCTTATTTCTGTAGTCCCCTACTTCTGAATCTGCTGACTTAATGGCGCTATATAATAAGTCATATTTTGAAAGGGTGCAATGGAATACCGTTAAGACCTTAAGTTTTGTTAAATTTTTTTTCAAAAAAGCAGATAACTATCAGCATCTCTTCTTCAGAAAGAAAAAACGATTGCTCTCGTAGCAAGAGATAATTTAAAGCTTTGTCCAAAGAGTTCCCAGCTTATTAACCTAGACTTTAATGATTTGAATGAGTGAAGAAGAAAAATAAAAGACTGATGGCTAACATCCGGCGATTGTAGCAGTAGTCGTTAGTCTTTTAGTGTCAACTCTGATGATATCTGGGCTTTCCTTTTCATGACGCGCATCGTAATTTTCTGCATCTATTTCTAATTCTTCTGTAGTCGATGCTGTTGAGGTAAAAACTTCTGGAGTTTCAGTCAATGTTTTTGGCGAAGTCGAGTAAGAACCCAGATATTCACCTGTGTACGGTCCTAGATACGGTTTGGTGTACTCGCCGAATACGAAAGCTATAAAGACCAAATATGTATACATGTTTTACAACTTGAATGGCACAGTTTGTACTAGTAATTGAAATCTGCTCGAATAACGTTGCGAACAAGGATTTATTTACGAGGTGGTTATCGCACTTATTTTTCAACTTTTGCAAGAATTAAAATGGAGGATTTATTTATAGTTTCTTTCTGAATTGGTCTTATCAAGCTTTGCGTAATAAAATTATCCTTTCTATGGCGACCCTAAAACAGGAAAGATTTCAGCGTAAAACAGTCAATTAATTGCAGTTCAAATATAACTGTATCGGTCTGAAAGCAAAAAATAAGCAGAACTTTTCTTTACATCAATTTTTCTGAAATGATATGATAATTATAGCTTCCTGTAAATAATTTATTCATCACCACCCATCCTGTCATTTCTTGCCCTATTCCCCTTACCACACCGTATAAACATCCAATTCTTACTTAAAACTGATGACTGTGTTTAATGATAAAAGTTCTTCTGAGAACGAAGTTCAACACGAAGTTCAAAAGTAACTGAGCGTTTTTTTTTCATTATCAATTTCCAGAAGAAAATTTCTTTAGTTTTCTGCATCCAAAGAAATATTCAATTAATATTTCGTTTAAGATATGAGGAACAAATAACAAAAAAATTTGAGATAAAACTACAGTTAACGCCTCCCCTAAATTTTAATACAGTTATTTCGGATGTTTTTCAATTGAGAAAAAGTAAGTTTGATGAGAAGATAACTACTAAAACTGAGAGGAAAAAACTTACCATAACTGAAAGTGAGTAGAAAACAGATAAGACCAAGCATCTAATTGTAAGATATTTTCAAAACAGGTACCATGAACGATGGATGAAGAGGGCATTTATTCCTTAGCAACTCGAAAAGGCTTATTTTGAATAGTTGTCAATCAAAAATCAATTCATATCACTTTTGTTCTCCTTCGTCAAATTCCTTCTCAAGCACCAGTTGCTTTAGAGCGACATTTATAAAGTTAAGGAAATAAAAACATTACAATGATTGGAGTGTTTCACAGCAAACAGACGACCGTGCAGTGATAACCAGTTGCAATTCCCATTGTTTTTCATGTTGGACAACTATTCCGGGACACTGATCCAAAATTTGACGCCCAAAGTGGAACTTGGACCCAACGACCCTCAGATTAAAAGTCTGATGCTCTACCGACTGAGCTAGACGGGCTCCACGCCATCTTTCCCAAAAAGACTCTATCAGGAAATTTTATCATACTGACCTTCTAAATGAAACTACAATAAAATCCTTGAAAAAGAGCTAAACATTAACAATCAAGCGACTTCACTTACAAACCATTTTTGTGCAACGAATGGCCGAGTCTTCCGTAGTAGTAAATTTAGAAGAATTAGAAGAATAATTTTTTGAGTTTCTCGTTCTTAAAACTATCCCTTAATTATTACTTGGTACCAAAGAAAACTTTTTGTTTACTCAGCCAGTTACTGCTTACAGCGAAAAAAACTTTGACTGTCTGGCTTAGAGCGGAAGTTCCAATCCAAATTTTCAAAAACGTTCAACCGGTGAATTTACCGATTCAGCATTGAAATTTTTGAACAGATGTAAAAGTCAAGCAGGAACGGCAGAAATGCAAAAT